CTCGATACAGACTAGTTGAAGTCACATATATACCACATTTGATTGGTTAGGATATGCTACATCTGGTTGATTATAAGCATTATTATTACATTTGTCGGAGCTTATGTGTGCACTGAACTTTTGTCAATTTGGAGGGGACATGGTTTTGGGCTGATTTGAATGCAGTTTTGGGAGTCTTAAACACTGATTTTGGGCAGGTTACACACTATCTTTGGAGGCCTTTAAATGCACTGTTTGGGGGCTTATTTTGTTGCGGTTTTGCGATGTTCGGGGGCTGATATGAATGCAGTTTTGGGGGCCTTTAAACACTGATTTTAGGTTGGTTACAAACTGTCTTTGGAAGCCTCTAAATGCACGGTTTTAAGACTATTTGGGGGCTTATTTTGTTGCAATTTTGGAACTGTTTGGGGACTTATTTTGTTGTGGTTTTGGGATATTTGGTGGTTGATTTGAATGCAACTTTGAAGTCTCGTTGTTCGGAGCCGCAAATTTAGGAAGCCCTTTACCTATTAATTTGAGTTTCACTCAATTGCTATTTAAATAAACTTTTGAGCTGACTCGTTGTTTTACCCCTCTGCTTAGTCCATTTTCAGAGTTGGGTCGGCTTCCTCTTTTCTCTTTATTTTGTTTTCTTTTTTTAAGAGCAGTGATGATAAAAGCAACTGCAAATAAAGCGGAATAATATTACATCCTACAGCATCGAGACCTGATCCAAGGACCTAGTGAGAATGTAGAATGACAATATTATTCACCGACACTAGACTAGCAATGACCATTGCTTTCTCAGGCTGCAGATAGTCCTAGCCCGATATTATAATCGACTTGTGGACAATTCATTCTTCAAAATACATAAACATAACAACAAAATAAATACATTCCTCACCACATAAATATTTTTTATTGCTAAACACATTCATTACCATATAAATATTTTTTATTGCTAAATAACAAAAAAAATCTATATGTATGACAAACCATGAATTTTGGATGATACAATCTGAATGTCCACTCATCGGTTACCTATACTAAGTTAAGAATTATCCTACTACGATTGTTTTGTTGGAAATTTCTAATTGAATGTCGAGTTTTATACCGTGCGATCGATGGTTGCCTAAGGAGTCCTTCGAGAATGATAAATCTGAACCTACCCCGAGTCTGAATTCTTATAGTCTACATCGGTTTTTCATAGGTCACATGTTCTTTTACTTGTCACTTGTTCTTTTATTTACCATTTGATTCTTGCACTTCCACATATACACATGTTCGTCGTGTTAGTTAAATTTTCTGTAATACTTGTTTATTTTGCCTAAGATAATAACAAATTTTGCAGCCACAGCAGACACGTCAAGTACGCAGGTCTATTTTATATGTATTGCATTTTACCATCTTTACCGCTTTTTATAATATTTTTCTTTACTGTTTTTTCTTTACTGCACTTATACAATTATTATGTTTCTGCATTTACCTACAGAACCCGCAAGACCCCTAGGATAGAGAACAATAACACCTGGTTATGAAGCACCCTACGACAGGCCCTAAGACCCAGCAACAGCATGTAAACATAAAACCCTAAACTCATGACCGATACAATAGGACTTTGGAGCAAACTTCGCGGGTAGCACGACGAAGATGCAGCGGATGGAGGATGACTTTTGCTTCAACTAAACCTTTCTGTATAATTAAATAACAAATTCATAAGACTTTGAGGTAGTTTTTGTAGCACGACGTAAATCCTCACTCTATCTTTAAGCTTTTACACAACTCTGTTGTTCAATATAAATCCTAACACTTTAGGATTCTGAGGTCGTCGTTCAGTACGACACAAATCATTCTATCTTCCAGGTTATTTGCATAATCAGGTATTATACAAATATAAACTCTAAATAATACTTGGCATGATTAAACATTAAATAAACATCACTTCAAAAATGCAAAGCCCAACAGTAGGATAGTTTGAGAAGTCACTGAGATTCTTCTCAGATCTGTGGCATCCTCTACCTTTCATTTATTTGACTCATGAAAAGAATTGTTCCCATTTGAGTCATTCTTATTTGACTTTCCTACGTCCAGCCTTGGAAATCTAAATTTTAAAATCCTGAAGACAATACCACTGATCTTAATCGAGAGTTTTCTTAAGTGAGTTCGACTGTCTAAGATGTAATTAACTATAGGACATGTCTCTATAGGAAACTAAGAACTAAGGTAAAATAAATCTTATCTAATATTTATATTAGAAAAAGGAACTTGTTGGTCACACAAAAGATTCGCAAAAAGAAATAAAGTCATAAATTTCTTATTTTAAATGATTGAGCCCAAGAACAAGTGGTGTGTTGATCTTTCGAGATAGTGTACCACTTGGCATATCGTGCTCAATTATTTAAACTATCATATTTATGAAATATATTCAGTATCATTTATTTCAAAATTAAAATACTATATTTCAAAAATCAAACTTACATCATATATATTAAATTAAGTTTAAATCATAATTCTAAAATTCTGTCCGACAACGGGGCAGACAAAGATTTCAGGGAAATCTAGAAGCATGTCGAGTTGTACTACCGAGCAAATAATTACTTATTCTACCCGAGTAAATTGTGTATTCCTAAATGTTCCCTAAGAAAGTCCATAGTGGAGAACTTGCAAGACATTTTAACAAGGATAAGACTCTCGCATTCGCAAGAGAACACTTTTTTTGTGGCTCCGACTAACAAGAGATGTAGAGCAGCATGTCAGGCAATGTCGGATTTGTCATGTGGCCAAAACCTGGGGACAGAGTGCAGGACTATACACCCCCTAACCAATACCGATGGCCCCGTGGGTGGATGTTAGCATAGATTTTGTGGTGGGTCTCCTGAAATCACAACGAAACAAAATTTATGTAATGGTGGTGGTGGATCGATTTTCAAAGATGGCACACTTCGTATCTGCTATCAGACAACAAATGCATCGCATGTCGCTGATTTATACTTCCAAAAGGTAGTGAGAATACACGAGATACCCAGGACCATCACTTTCGACGAGGATGTCAAGTTTTTAAGTCACTCTTGGAGGACCCTATTGGCAAGCTAAGCACTCAACTTAAATTCAGTTAGTAGCTCACCCACATGTATGGTTGGAGATAGTAAGGAGTCTGGGAAACCTTTTAAGGTGCTTTGTGAGAAAAAATATTAAATGGAGAGATTTGATTCTAACTCAAGAAGCGAAGTTTGTTTACAATAGATATGTGAGTCAGACTATCGGATGTACCACATTTGAAATTGTGTACGAGCACAACCCACTCACTCCACTCTACTTGGTACCACATTTGAGTTTGTTTACAATAGATATGTGAGTCAGACTATCCGATGTACAACATTTGAGATTGTGTACGAGCACAACCCGCTCACTTCACTTTACTTGGTACCTCTCTTGTCGACATAAGAGATTAGTGAGGATGCGAAGGATCGGGTGTGATAGATTCAGAAGCTCCACAAGAAGGTTGGGAAGGAAATCACTAAACATAACCACAAGTACCAGGCACAGGCAAATAAAAATATGAATGCGACTCTTCAAGAATGGGACCTAGTGTGGATACGGCTAAAGAAAAAAGGATTTCTAGTAGGAGCATTCCTCAAACTCAAGCCCAGAGTAGATGGATCTTTCAAAATGCTCCGGAAACTGAATGACAACACATGTAAGATCGACCTATTAGGAGACAACAAAATTTATGCAATGTTCAATGTAGCGAACTTGACACCATACAAGGAGGAGCCAGAAGCTCTAGCGAATGAAGTTAAAGCTCTTCAAACCCTAAGACACTAATGTTGGGGTTGGGGCTGAGCCGAACAAACCGGCTCAGCAGGGCTGGGGTGTTATCCTTTATTATAAATATGACATTTTCTATGTTATAATTTAGTTTTTCCTTATTTCAGATTTTTGTCACCAGCATTTCACCCCTGTTAAGGTTGTATCCGAAGATAGGTAGCGCTCCGACTGTGCCTTGCTCTAAGGTGATGACTACCACCCCTTAATCCCTCACCTACTCCCCCTCCCCTGCTTGCTGCCATCTCCCTTGCACCCCCATGCTTCATGTTACCCTATCTCCGGCCCTAATCCACCCCACCAACTGGCGCTAAACACCTCATCCTCCATGTTTCCCCATCGCCAACCCTACTCTATCCCTACAGCTGTCGTGATGCATCCCCCACACCACTTGCTATTGTCGCCAGACCATCAGCACCCCACTTCTTACAATTATCTACCATCAGCCCTCTTGTACCGCCAACACCCCCAAATCCCTCTCCCTGCTCCAATCGCAAGCCAACCAGCATACTCCCTTCCAACCAGCCATCGCCTCTCCCAGCCCCTCTCACCGTTGTCCACTGGTTGTCCTGCCTCACCCAAGTCAGTGATTCATGTCGTCTTACTTTTCCTTTCCTGCATGTTTGGTGTAATAAAGATATGTTTTCTTATCAGATTTTGGGTTATCTCGGGTATCAATAAATACAAAAAATAAGTCACAAAGCCTTCGAAGCTGAAAAAAGTGATAACATACAATAAATTGATAAGTGCAACCTTTAATCCATAACACCTTTTAAACAGGCTTCAATCAGGTAACCCATACTTCAACTAAGACTATAAACTAAATCAAACCAAAATTAACTAGGCTTCTGAGATAACTTGAAAAATAAACCAGCTCGAATTAATACAAAAAAACTGGGCAGGAAATAGGAAAAGACAGCTGAATATGTTAGAAAAGATTTACATAAATTAAAATTGGCACTAAATGGAATAGTAATGAATCGAAAGAACTATCAAAAAATCTAACCCAACTTAGTTGGAATGGTGCGGCGACAGCATATAATGATGCTGATGATGATTAAGATAGTACACACATGATTGCTTGAAAAAACTCAAAAATAATAGAGGCTGTGAGTGAATCGGTACCAAAAAAATGAAGCAAATATAATGTAAATCAAATTTTGCATTTTACATGTCATAAGGAACTTATTGCTTGCCTCCAATTGTCCACGAATTGTGTCCATCAAGTCAGAACTGGCTTCATCCGATTGAAAATGTGAACCATCCCTCCGAGATCTCAGTCCCTTCAAAAACTTTGACTTTCGTTCCTTCTTTTTTTCCTCTAAAAAGGGCTTTTGTCCTCTTAAATACCCCAAAAAAATAAGATTAAAAAACAAGAGATAATAGTATTTAAGCGAAACTATTGGTTGATAAAACAAGAGCTATACCCAGAGTGTGCAACAGAAGCAAGAAGCACCTCATAGGCCGTTTCCCGCATATCATCATCAGAGAGTCCTTTGAAAATCCTAAAACCACTGATCAGTCCATTATACCAAAGATCCTAATATCAGTGCTCCTCCAACCCGTGCAAGTAAAATCTACTTTGACCCAAGGTTGATCAACAATCTTCCTCGAGCAGCATTTATGATTATTTCAAGGGGACGGGTCAAAGTAAGATTAATCATAAAATAATGTAATTTATCTTTTACTTGCCATTATTCAATGCCGAGAGAATGGATAAACAACAATCAAAAAAAGGATAATGTGTTTAATAGATTTGGATGCTTAGATAAAATGAGAGTTTTTGCAGTAATTTGTGATTACCTGCACGGAAAGAGGGTAAGCCTAAGGAAAATTTCACATCCTTTGATGGTTGAGGTGATATGGTGGTCGGAGCTGAATTGCTTATTTTTGAATCAGGCATAGACACCATAAATTCTACACCAACTGAACTTGTTGAAGATGATAAATGATCATTAGTTGTCTTTGCCCCCACCATAGGAGCAACTCGCTGAGGAGGATATCCTGATAAATCTGGTCTGGAAAGAAGAAAGAATGAGTTTCTGGATGGTGTGCTTATCTGCAAAAAAAAAAAAAAAGACAACGAACCTAAAGCATCAACAATTGATAAACATCAATTTAGATATGCAGTAAAATGGAAAGATATGTATTTTTGTGGAAATGAATTAACCAGAGCAGAGATAAATCTTGAAAACTAAAAAAACATGTTTAATAATAGAATCATAGAAAAAAACCAAAGTACATGTATGTGGTGTATTTGAATGCAAATACTATAAGATTGTACTAAGACTGCAGCTAATATAACAAGGGGATCAATGGATCAGCTATTTTAAGAGAAAAACTTATGAAGTAAATACATACGGGTCTGGTTGATGTGTTGAAATTTTCATAACAATCATCACAACACAAAAAACAACGAAAGATTATTTTCACTATGTTAATATTTAATAAAATTGGCTCATATGCAGAGTAAAAAACAAATGCATCAATTTAGTGTATAAACCATAACAATGTTAGTCGTACAAATAATGGATGAGTTGCAATTCGCAAGCAGATCAACTCATAATCTATTTTTAACTTTAAGAAACACGGATTCACACACAACAAAAGAGAAAACGAAGGTTAAAGGAAGTGTTTCACATGTAATCAAATCATCAGGTTCAGGCAATAATAGATTGTAAGAAATTAAAAAACTACATCAGAAATGCAAAAAATTACCGTTAATCCAGACAGAATGAATCTTTAATGTTAGAAATCACTAATTATTTGTTGGTTTCTATAATTCTATATGTCAACAAAAAAATCAACAGAAAATCACCAATGCAATGATTTCAAATCTCCATATACCTATGAAAATGGCACACACTAAAGACCCGTTTGGTGGGTGGACGTTTTAACGAAAACGCGGGTCTCCGTGCCCCGCTCATCCTCATCCCGCATTTACTCTGCTTATTCTCGTCTTCTTTATCTTCGTTCCCCGATAAGCGTAAGGAGGGTATCCCAACGTTTGCTTCTTGTTCCGGTAAAATCTACCCCCTATCTTTCCTTGTTGGATTTGTTTTGTTAGTCATATTGTTTTGTACAGAGTTTCTTGGTAGATTTGCTCGATGGGTTTCTTGTGTTTTCTGTGTAGCGCTACGGCGCGGGACGTTTTAACGAAAACGCGGGTCTCCTATGCCCCGCTCATCCCATCCCGCATTTACTCTGCTTATTCTCGTCTTCTTTATCTTCGTTCCCCGATAAGCGTGAGGAGGGTATCCCAACGTTTGCTTCTTGTTCCGGTAAAATCTACCCCCTATATTTTCTTGTTGGATTTGTTATGTTAATCGTATTGTTTTGTACAGAGTTTCTTGGTAGATTTGCTCGATGGGTTTCTAGTGTTTTTGTGTTTTCTGTGTAGCGCTACGGCGCGGGACGTTTTAACGAAAACGCGGGTCTCCTATGCCCCGCTCATCCCATCCCGCATTTACTCTGCTTATTCTCGTCTTCTTTATCTTCGTTCCCCGATAAGCGTGAGGAGGGTATCCCAACGTTTGCTTCTTGTTCCGGTAAAATCTACCCCCTATATTTTCTTGTTGGATTTGTTATGTTAATCGTATTGTTTTGTACAGAGTTTCTTGGTAGATTTGCTCGATGGGTTTCTAGTGTTTTCTGTGCAGCACCATTTTTTTTAGTTTACATTCATAATTGGGGGCGGCTTCGGCTGCTGATGCGTCAGTTTTGATGTTGCAACTCGAATTTGGTGTTGGATTTTAGTGAGAATTTGATATTTGTGTGAGAATTTGAGAAGAAAAGGAGGTCTGATGGGGAGTCGGTTTCGGCTGCTGTTTCAGTTTTCTGAAACTGTGACCGGTTTTGTTTTTGAGTTAGAATTTGGTGTTGGATTTGAGTGAGATTTGATAATGTTGGGGATCGTTTGGGGGAGGTGGCAACGCTACAGCGCGGTGCGTTTTAACGAAAACGCGGGTCTCCTGTGCTACGCTCGTCCTCGTCCCGCAATTGCTTGGCTTATTGTCTTCTTTCTCTCTGTTCTTCGACACGTGTGAAAAAGGATTTCCCGATGTTTGCCTCTTCTTCCAGGATCCTCTATCTCCTATATTTTTTTCGTGGATTTGTTTTGTTAGTCGTATTGGTTTGTACAGAGTTTCTTGGTGAATTTGCTTGATGAGTTTTTTGTGTTTTCTGCATAGCACCCATTTTTTTTAGATTTTCTAGTTTTTTGCAATTTTTATATTCATAATTGGGTCGGCTTCAGCTGCTGATGGTTCGGTTTTGATGTTTTAGTTGGAATTTGGTGTTGGATTCAAGTGAGAGTTTAATATTTGAGTGAGAATTTGAGAAGATGAGGCCTAATGGCGGGTCGGTTTCGGCTGTTGTTTCAGTTTTCTGCAACTATGAATGGTTTTGCTTTTTAGTTGAAATTTAGTGTTGAATTTGAGTTGAAATTTTGAGAAGAAGAGGAGGCATGTTGTGTTGTGGTGTTGTGGTGTATCGTTGTGTGTCGTGGTGTGTCGTGGTGTTATGATGTGGATTATTTAATATAAAAATTTTGAGTGGTGTGTGTGGTTGTGTGGTGTAGTGTGTTGGAATTTGGCTGGGAATCTAAGATATATATACAATTTAAGATTGGATTTGTGAATAGTTATGCTTTAGTTGTTGTGTATTCAACGAATACCAATTTGGTGGTGCGTGTGATGGTGGTGCGTGTGGTGGTGTGATGTGGTGTGGTGGTGCGTGTGGTGGTGTGATGTGGTGTGTGGTGTTGTGGTGATGTGGTTCGGCTGCTAATCTGTGATGTGGTGGTATGGGGTGTGGATATGCTATTGTGGTTAGGTGTGTAGAGGTTTTAGGGAGGTGTGGTGGTGTGTGTGATGGTGTGATGTGTGGTGGTGGTGTGTGGATGTGTTGTTGTGATGTGGTGGGGATATGTGGAGGTGCGGAGGTGTGGCGGTGTGGCGGTGTGGCGGTGTGTGTGGCGGTGTGGCGGTGTGGCGGTGTGGCGGTGTGGTGTGTGGATGTCGCGGTGTTGAGTGGTGGGGTGATGTGGATGTGTTATTGTGGTGTGGGGAGGCGTGTGGAGGTGTGGTGTAGAGGTGGGGTGGTATGGTGTGTGGATGTGTTATTGTGGTGTGGTGGGGTGTGTGGTGGTGTGGTGGGGTGTGGATGTCCTGTTGTAGAGTGGTGGGGTGGTGTGTGGATGTGTTGTTGTGGGGTGGTGTGTGGATGTGTTGTTGTGGGGTGGTGTGGTGGGGTGTGTGGTGGTGTGGTGTGTTTGTTGTGGAGTGGTGGGGTGATGTGTGGATGTGTTGTTGTGATGTGGCGGGGTGTGTGGTGGTGTGGTGTTATGTGTGATGGTGTGGTTGTGTGGTTTTGGGATGTGTTGTTGTAGAGTGGAGTGGTGCGTGGATGTGTTGTTGTGGAGTGGTGGGGTGTGTGGAGGAGTGGAGATGTGGTGGTGTGTTGTGGTGTGGTGCGGTGTGGCGGTGCGATGGTGCGGTGCTGAGGTGTGTGAATGTGTTGTTCTAGATGGTAGGGTGGTGTGTGGATGTGGATGTGCTACTGTGGTGTAGTGGGGTGTGTGGAGGTGTGGAGGTGTGGTGTGGATGTGATATTATGGTTGGCAGTGTGGAGGGCTTAGGGAGGTGTGGTAGTGTGTGTGATGGTGTGGTGTGTGGATGTGTTATTGTGGTGTGGCGGGATGTGTGGAGGTGTGTTGTCGTGTGGTTTTTTGTTTTTACAAGTATCAAATATATTTTTATGACAGTTTTGTTGCAAACAGCATTACTACACATAGACAAAATGGTCATTTCTCCAAAAACAGCTGCAGAACAGCCGTTTCAAACTATAAAAAATAAATAGTCATCCAGCTTATCCGCAGCAGCTTCTGCGCATCAGCCTCTGTCAAACAGCTTTATTGATAAACTGTAGTTGCCTCAAATAGACCCTAAATAATCACCATATATGTTGTACTTGATATTTTATTTTATAACTTTCTTAGGATGTTTGATACCATTCTATGGCTCTTAAACAGTGTTTGCAAGGAGAAGTTAGTGGAGAAGTAGTTGTGGAATAGCGAGGGAACAATAATATGTGAGGGCGACAGTATTTGGAAAGGTACAAGGTGAAGAAGATTTGGCGTCAATCGGCAGTTGTCACAGCTTAAAACAACGAGATGGACGACAAAATTACATGAAACGGATGTCCATGAGGTTTGTCGCATGTTCCTGAATAAGCTATAGAAATACAACTTGGCAAAGGAATGGTATACAACACTCCATAAGTAGAAAACAAATAATATAATCTCCAAAATACTCAAACTAAAACAAAAGTCAGGAAAAACAGAAAAAATAACAAGATATAAATCACTCACTAAAATAAAATCAATTAGAAATAGAGAAAAAGAAAAATAACAAAAAGTTAAAATATACAAAAAATTGCAGTCGCGGCCCGTCTGTTTAATCTTGTAGAACCTCGCATCGCAAGATCGATTACGTGATCTGCACAGAATCCCACAATCCATGTGAAATCACAATGGGCGAATTACAGCCTGCGACATCACAGGAAACTCTCGTGTCCCACATCCCGCGTCATTTTATCAAAACAAGAGGAGCATCATCTTATTCTCATGAAATTTTTGGAATCGATCTACCACAATAATAACAAAAACATTGTCTTGTTGTGTCTAAGGCGACTCCACTATAAAAGCTATGCTCATTTCCATTCCATGTAACTCTAAAACACATACACCATTTCAAAGAATACCCTAATAGAATAAATAATCATCCTTTTTTGATACAATCAGAGTTAGAACTACATATAAATAAGTATTCCGACAAACTAAACCTGGGACCATAAAATATGTATCATGTTTCTCCCATTCTTCTTAACAAGTCATATCTAATAAATATGTCCAAGGAAACCGGCCAAGGAATGAAATCTATGGCAAGTTGAAACTCTCTCGATGGCAGCCACTCAGAAGGTACAATGTCAGTCAGGACGTCTAGCAACTCTCTCAATAAAGATTGCCCCTTTTCTGGTATCAGCTCCTCCAACTTACTTCCTTATAGGGCAACCAATGTTAATCATGCTGGAGTTCTTCTCATGAGCTTAGTTTGAATAACTAATAAATCCCTCTTGTCAACTAGAAGTTGATATTCCTCTTTGATGTCTCTTTTATCTCTTGTGTCATTCCCATTCCTCCAATTGTCCTCTGCTCAGTGAAAGATATCACCCTCCTGTTTGAACAATCATATGAAATGTGCCCAAAATCATAGCACTTGAAGCATTTTCTTACAGGGAATGATGGAAAGTGTTAGCATTCCCCACCTCTTCTTCACTCTAAACTGATTTTTTCTCAGGCAGGGTTTGCGTGAGTGCTACAATGGGTGTGCTCTTGTTGTTTGATCATAGGGTTGAACTCTGCTTGAAGGGTTGTCGGCCTAATAATGTTGTGTTGTATCTCCACCTTCGGTACTAGAATATGAACATCTTGTAATATCCAATAAAGTGGCGATTGTAACACGGTGTCAATAGACGCTCTCAATCGCCCCATATATTGAGTTATGGTGTTCTCCTTAGGCTCCACTAACTCACACTTCAATATAAACTGCTCAAACTCAAGATCGTACTCCTTTATTGAGAGATATTGCTATTTTAAGTAACGAAATCTCAAGAGCATTTATTTGTGTGTCTCTCATTTCACTGCAGTGAGGGAACAAAAACATGCGATGGTGACGGTACTGGAAGAGATATGAGGAGAAATTTGCTGTTGGACAATGGATTTGGCATCAATCCACGGCTATGCCGTCTAAGAACGGCGAGGCGGATGATGAAACAGCCCAGTGCGGATGTCGAGAATGTTCATCATGTACTCCTGAACAAACTACAAACACACCACTTGTTAAAGAATTAGGGTACAGCACTCCATCGTTGGAAATTAAATATTACAATCTCCAAAATTCTCGAACAAAGGAAAAACAAGAAATATAACAATATATAAATACTTTCCTAATAGGAAAAATAAAATTAGAAATAGATAAATTGGAAAAAATTAAAAAAGAGAAAATATGCAAAATATTGCAGTCGGCAGCCCGTCAATTCTATCGTGTAAAATCATTTGTCGCTGGATCAATTCCGCATGGATGGCGGAATAGAGCGATCAATGCAGAATCCCACAATCACAAGTTCAAAAAAAAAATTAAACAATGACAAAATATTTAAGCAATAATAAAAAATTATTATGCAGGTAGTTTTCTTGACCATCATGACCCTGCTCTTATTTTTAAAATCAATCTCTAATCTGGTTATCATGTAACTTCACCATTATGTTGAATTGACTTTCTTATGGCCTGCCCTTGAAATATTCAACTGCTACTGGTGAATAGTAATAGATTTGTTAGAAAAATTACTGCACTTATTATATGTGTTAATGATTGGCATCCATTTTGATCAATCGTGAGAATAGAGCATAAGTAAATCATATAGAGCCGTTGAAAATCCTCCCGCAGCCCTTCTTTGAAAGGATGGGTTTCTCAATGAGCACTCAAGAACTTCCACGATTTAACACCTCAACATCATCATGGTCATCATTACCCTAGTGCTATTTGCAGTAAGCTTAATGATTTTTTCCCTTAATTCTTGAGCATTTTTGGAGGTGCTCATTTTCTTTTGCATTACTTCTTCCTATTCCTTCCACAATAATTTATATATCATTTTATGGGTGCATCTTCTATCCTTCATTTTGCATCCCAAAGCATCTCGTCTATTTTCAACAAAATTGTTGCGCCAGTCAACTTAGACAACAGTCATTTATATGGAATTCAAAATTTAGATATATATAGCAAAATGAGTTTGTCCTCAATTTTGTAAAAGTAAACCCTACTATATGGTATTCTCCTTGATAATAATTATGGCAACTATTCTCCTAGGTAAACCTCTGTTTTATAACATACCCATGACCATTTAACCGAAACTCATCAACAGCCTATTCAAATTAATTTTTCGCCTTCTTTGAATACAGAAACAGAGAGAGAGATTCCTCTTACATTTCGGACAACTTGTGTTGCGTAAACTACAGCAGTCCAAATTAAGTTTTTTTAGTTAAATATAAATCTCTTTTGGAAAGTTAAAGAGAAATCTCTGCAGCACTTTTTCTCGTCATCTCACAATTGAATTATGTGCCTAATCATGACTAGTTCTCCTACATCCCTAAAATATTGGCTTATAAATAACCGTAGACAGCGAAAAGCTATAATAGTTGCCATTCGCGACAAAAGTAACAATTAGGGTTGCATAAGCTATGCAACTCAACCTTAAAACGCCGCCAGTCCAAATGTTTAGTTCGCATGATTCGAGGAATAATTAACAAATAACGAGTTTGAGCTTACCTTTTTTTTCTAACTAATATCATATATAACAGACTTACCATAATTGGCGAGCCCAGTCCGCTGTTATATCTCGCTGTCGCATCCCCTGGAACAAAAGCTCCGCCTACACAGGTCAAAATCACCATTAAACCCCGCAACAAAAAACGGATTATTAAACAAATCTCCTTGACATGCCGGATTTGACGCAATCGAGCACATAGTCCGCACTAACGATGTCCAAGTCCACGCCCGATAGATCGGGCAAATCGCCCGAAGGACCTTTGATTAACCCCTCCGAAAAGATGAATTCGAGAAGCTTGCGGCGATCATTACGGAATCGCTGCAGTATAAAAGAAGGTTCCATCCAAAGCGTGCTTAAACTCCCCTTTATTCCGAGCTTTAAGGGAGATTGAAGAATAAAGAATCTTAGTGAAGGACAGGAGAAAATATGAAGAGACCAAAAACCCTAGCTACAATCAAGCAGGTGCAGACCAGGCCATGGAGGGGCGGAAGGAGTGTCATGTATATAGAGTTTGTGACAGGCAGCGGGACCGAATTAGAGTTTCTACCCAATGGCATTTACAGGCATACCATCCAAATTTTATGTATTTACCTGTTAAACATTTTAATTTTATTTTTTAAGATTATAATACACGAACTTTTTATATCCAGTAAATATATCACCGTATTACTTAAAAGAAAAATGAAATACACTATCAAATTATGAGCAATATAACAATCATAATTTTGATCCTAAATATGTAAATACATAAAATTTGAGTAGCATGTATGTAAATCTTTTTAGATAGAATTATAGATAATAATACCTATCTTTCAGCGTGTTAAGTTCTGACAAGCGATTGAATGATAGAGAAATTGAATGATGGAATGATTATCTCAAAAGTCCTAACGAAAAGTTTTATATAAAAAAAAATTCAATAAGGCTCCTAATTTTTAATATTAATGATAAATTATAGTAGTCAGAGTGTCAATAACCCTAAACTCTAAATCCTAAATCCTAAATTGTATAACTACGTCGATTAATTATCCCAAATTTTAAAAATAAATAAATATTTGCTATTTCCCTTTATTGCCCATTTACTTTTAGCATGTTCAGCACGACGGCAACTAAGTGGAGATGCTTAGAGGCAATTTGAACCATTTAGTGAAACTCCTTTAATAACGCACGCAAGACGAACATTGTCATGTCATCTAAAACAACAAAAATATAATGTTCTATTGATGTAATTTTGGGAGACACGGTCTTACCAAACGAAAACAAATGCACGCATTTGCATTCACTACAATGAAATGGAGTTTATTTGCCTTCTCAAAAGAAAACGTAGTGTTTTGAGTATTAAAACTTATTTGCTATTATCATTTTAGCATAAAAGCAAGGCAAAAGTGTCTTTAGATATCAGCATAATCAAGGGCCTGAAATCAATTCATTTCTCTCAATCATGATTCTTGTGCTTTATAAACATTGGTGAAATTAACAAGTTAATTTTGATGAAAAATTCTTTTTTTTTTAATCTCTTGAATTATGCATGATTAACTTATAAATCATGTTCAGTCCAAAACGTATTAAGTTTGACTATAGAAGTTTTAATAAGTACTTAAATACATGGTTGCAAAAGCCCTTATAAGAATCCCATTAAAGAGAATAGATTTTTGATCTATCAACGTGTGGTCCTTGAACGAGAATGACACTCATCATTCTCTTATATTGTTTAGATTTTTGTTTACTCATATTCAAGATGTTGTTTCATGATCATATTGAAGATGTTGTTGAATACACATTTTCAATTTTTTTTTTTTTTAATTCAAGCATCTGTTGCATACCTCATATTGAGGTTATTGTTACCTTTAGGCTATTGTTGATTAATCGTTGAGAGTGTTATTCTTTATAAATGTGATACTTAAAACTCATAATGATAAGATCTTGGTCTTCACTTTGAAGAGATGTTGATTATGTTGTTTTTTTTTATAAACATACATCATATTTATTTTAATATTGTTGATATCAATGATATCAATAGCTTTGGAAAAAATAATATTTTAATTGCGAACTATAAGCATTGGTTATGATGCCATTAGAATGATCTGCAATTGAGACGCATGCATTTTTTTATTTTTTTACAAACTCCATAGAAAAACTTCAAATATAAGGGCTCAGCTGAAATTTACGATGTTGATACTTGATTAACTCTTAATATTTTTTTAAGAGTATTGATTACTTATAACTTGTCCCAAAAAAAAAGACAAAAGCATTATAAGTTTTGTTAGAAATTTGACATATTGTAATAAAAAAATTATTCGTTGGTGAGAGCACAGTAACATCAAGCTCATCTCAGGCTTATGCCTTCCGAAATTTTTAAACAACTATTTAGTTTATTGAATAAATAAAAACTTACAATCAAAATCCGTACATATTACTTGTTGTACATCCGGGATGCGCCAACACAAAACTCGAGAAAATCCAACTGTTCATAAGTAAAAAAAAAAATTATAACTAAAGAGAGAACGCCAACAGAAGACTAAAAATACTCGTTTATCTAGCTAAATGTAGCGCTCTAAACCACAAGCAAAACCAAAGCCGACCAAATGCAACATCTAAGCCAGAGTCCGCAAGACTAAAGGTGTCCATATGATTTGAGCCCAAACCCTACGAGCCAAGACAAGATAGAGGCATGCAAGCCAACCACAACTCATCAACGTTGGCAAGCAGCTTTCTCATGGATCAAACTAGAAGAAAGACTCAGCTCCTCAATACAAACAGTCATCCCACAGGCATACCAACGACCCCTTGTCAGAGATTGAGAATCAACCATGTCACAAGGCATCTAAATATTCCCTCTTGTTCCCTTTGTTGTTGAGTAAGCTATATATTAGGTCACAGTGATTCACTTTTTATCTGAAAGCTAGGTGTAGCTTGGTTATATAGAAGTTCCTCACTAGGGATCAATGGTAAACGGCCAGGCTAGATCAACTGATCAGTAAAATCTAACAAATTGAATCGATTATATCGACCTAGAGACCATTGAAGACATATCCAACAACCTCTACGCAACATAGCTGAAAGAGCTGCCCTTACCTAGCCAAGCCCACCGAGCTCAACCAACTAAGTCAGAAGGTAGCTGAGTCATAAGCTCATGCAGATAAAATACATAAAATATGTTGTGATGCCTTTATTAAAGCTGTGACAAATAAATAACTTCACATATTGTGCCCCCTTCATAAATTATGGATCATTCTATGAGAGAGACAAAACATTTTGTTGTTCATCAGTGCACACTTCTCTCTCTCAATATCATATCTCATGTTATAACCCTTAAGGTGTTATTTACGGACATATCAGGATTCAACGCTTATATAAATACATATTATGTATATTTTGAAGTTGATGCCTCGTGAAGTTTTTAATTTATTTACATATTTTGAGGTTTTAAGCCTCCTAAGATACACCGACCTTTTAAGACTTATAATATTTGTAATATTCATTAATATTTTTATACTTTTAGAGGCTCATAGTCCTGAGATTTTTTTTCAATTTAAATGTTGCTTCTAAGGCTTATAGTTTGAGAAGATACTTTGAATGTACTAGCTTATTATGATGCTTATAATATTCAATGGCTTTTTAATATACTTGTATCTTATGAGGCTTATAGACTATTGAGTTTTTTTCTAATATATTTGTATCTTTTGAAGCTTATAAAGTTTCATGATTTTTTTCATGTACATGTACTTTATTAGCGTTACAATATTCTTAGATTTTTTTTTATATATATTTATACCTTTTGAGATATAATATTGTATGATTTATTTAGAGTAAAGGCACATTCCGAGACTTATAGTCTTATGAAATTTTTTAAATGCACACATATCTTCTGAAACTTATAGTCTTCTAAATTTTTTTTTTCTGTGCATATACTTTTAGGCTCATAGCATTATGAGAATTTCTTAAATATATATGTATTTTATGTGACTTATAGTATTATGAGATTTGTTTTAGTGTATTTGCATGGTTGTACCTTCTAATATTTATATCATTCCAATAATTTTTAGCAGAGGTTCTATCAATCATTTGCTCTTAAAAAATATTTCTGATAACGATCTTATTTGCTACTAGCTTTCCATTGAGGATTTCTAAGTGCATATATTTGAAGAATATAGGTGGAGATCATATATGTTACTATTCCTCAAAATGTCATTTTAGTGAAGATCATGTCCACTACCAGCTTTTCATCAAGGCTATCTCGTGAGCATGTCTTGTAGTGATATTGGTGGAGCTCTTGCATGACATTTGCTCTTAAGGGATCATTCTAGTGACAAACCAATTCAATACTAACTTCCAACTAGGGCCGCCTCATGTGCATATTTTTCAAGGGAATGAGTTGAGATATTGTTTGCCACTTTCCCTTAGGGGTTTTTATAGTGAAGACACTGTCCACTATTACACAAGACGATTACCAACCACATTCACTCTCGGGATGTTAGTGTGAGCGACATTTTGAGATTGCATTGGAATTTGTATCCCACATCGAAGAATTTAAATAAGTAAAAACTCAACATCTTAGAGTTTAAGTCTCCATCGAACGAGAGTTTGGTTCTCACATACTACGCCAAGTTGATGTGTATCGAAAGATTCATGACTGTAAATAAATAAACCAGCTTCTCTGCATAATACGAGATCCAACAATCACACATATAAAATAAATTTAACTAAAGGAAACACATCATTTTTATGAGGAAACCCATTTAAAGGGAAAAAATCGCGAGGCCAGAACTGTTGAAGTAATTAATGATGTAATTATGAGTACATAAACTCACTCTTATCATGAATTAGAAAATATAGAGTTACAAAGTTGATGTACATGGTATTTCAACAATTATAGTTGTAACGAGTTGCAAAGGCCATAGTATGTTGTTATGGTGGTAGTAGTATGTCAATAATATTGTAAACGACAATTGTAGTGTCGACTTGTCGCGGAGGCTATAGTTGAAATTCATGGTAGAAGTTGTTCATGTAAGCTATAGATAGTAGCTTCAGGAACATCTGTTAGTCGTAGCAGGTAGTTATGACAGCGTTATTAGGCCACAAAAGACATAGTCAGGAGTTGCAATAGTTGTGGTCCACAAAGGTCGTAATTGGTCGATAGGCCATATTAAGGAGCTGACTATATACGTATGTCACAAAGGTTAAAGTTGGAAGCTTCATGAGCTGCGAGCCACACAGACCATGGTTGGTCACATAGACTGTAATGGGGATCTATAATAACATCTGTATGCCACAGAGGCTGGAGTTGGATGAGTTATAGTCTCGTAAACTGTAGTCAGTCACACAGGCCATATTATAAGTTGTAATAATGTTTTAAGTTGTAGAGGTTAAAATTGTGAGATGCATGAGATGCGAGACACACAGGTTGTACTTGGCCACATAGGTTGTAGTGCTGAGTTGTAATAAAATTCGTAGATCGTTGAGGTTGGAGTTGGGAGCTGCATGGGTTATGGACCATGCAGGTGGTAGTTGGTCACATAAGTAGTAGTGGAGAGCTATAATGTCAGTTGACAACCAAGACGGTAATAAGATGTAGTTGCACAAACTATATAAGGTCGCAGGGCGTAGAGGGGAGTTGAGAGGAGAGAACTTTGAGAGTTTGGAGAAGGTCACCATATTCCAAGTATGACTATTTTAAGTAGTTATTATAGGGAGTTACATCGTAATTAGGGCACACTGTTACACCATAATGAATGTGTGTCGTTGCACAATATTTAAGGTGCATTTCACACTAGAGGTATGTCATTAAAAAATCTCGCGGTGCTTCATTACAACGTAGTCGGGGTGCGTCGTCATATCATTTTTTTTGGGCGCTTCGTTACACTGTATTCGGACGCGTGTCATTACACCATTTTGGGGTTGTGTTGCTACATTGTATGATTCATCGACATCTGTGAGCAAGGGCAGCCTTCAGCGGTCAACGACGGTTGGCAAGAGATGGTTGAGAGCTACGAGGCAAGAAATATTTGTTTGGTCTTCGGTCTCGAACATCACTTAAATTATAATATTGCTTCTCCTGGCCTAATTTTATCTATTGGTCTTTCCTTCTTGGTCCCCATTAATGATGTGGTGTCTCGATTTATAGAGTATGAGAGCGACCACCTTAGGAGTGACCTCCTTAGTAAAACAGAAAAGAATTCAGACTACTCGGACATATGATTTAGAGAGCTTCTTACAATCGAACGATGTATCATGAACATTTTAATGCCTAAATGATGTCGTAGCCTAGTGATCTCAGGCTAGATTTGACTATAGAATTTTCAATTTTGAAATCTTTATTGTACTTCCAATTAATCACTCAAAACTTTCAGATACGATTTAATAACTTGTATGAGGTTTAATTTGACTCAGCTTGAATCAATTTTGCTGTCATTATGTTTGTCTCGTGAAGCCGGTCAGTTAGAATGCAAGTTTGCTGAAATTAGAGTTTTTGATGATTTTTAATTTGAATTTGAATATTTCTTGTAAAAAAAATTATAATATATAAGATAAGTCTTGAAATTTGTGTCAAATGATAAAATTTATTGATGACTTATAAAGCAAAGTGTTTTTATATGCCAACCAACAAATATATTGAATGTAACATATTAATAACCTAAATTTTAAATATAACATTTCAACAACTTTTTTTGGCTTTAACCACCCTCATTTACCGATTAGCTTAGATTTTGAGAGAAAAATTTGGGTGGTTAAAATGTTATATTAAATTTAATGAACAAATTTATCAAATCCAAAATAGTTAAATCTAGCAAAAAGTTTGGTTTCGTTAAGATTAAATCGAATTAAATCTCTTTGAAGCATTGTACTATTAGAGATGCGAGAACTCACATATCCTTTGAATCAAATTAATAATTGAAATTAATAAATTTAGAATTACCATTAAAACAAAGAAAATTTTGATTTAAATAACGATGGTATATAATTTTGGTTTTTTGTGTGTGACAAATTTAAATTAATATCTGGCACCACACCCCCAAAGTCTGGAGAAAAAATTGCGTACGTACGTAAGACGTACGCAGCGCTGCGTGCGTACGTCAGGAGGGTTATTCAAAGGGTCCTGGGGGGTTATATCAGCGTTATATCCCCTGTAACCTCCTTATAATCCATTTGTAACCTACTTGTACCTTCTAATAAGTTCTGCACTTCCTTTTTTATATATTTGTAGGTTACAGGTAGATTACAGAGAGGTTAAAATGAGTATAATGTAGATATAACCCCTCAATAACTTCTGAATAACCTCCTTGGCGTACGCAACACTGCCTAAGGGTCTGTTTGGGGCAGCTTGTAAGTGCGGTGACGTTTTCAAAAACGTCGCCGTCCTGTTTGATTAACACGTTTCAATTGTGTTTTAAAAACAACTTATTTGATTTGTTAATAAACGCCAGCCGTGCCAAAGACCCCACGGCTCGCATTTTTGAGTTGGCGTTCGAAAATATTTCCTTCGATGCCCTTCTCCTCTTCGCTCTTTCGTGCCCTTCTTCTCTCCGCTTCCTCGCTCGATCTACCCTTCGTCGTTCGCACTCAAAACCATCTTGTCTATTCCACCCTCCGTCGTCCGCAGCTCCTTCGGCATTTCTAACAGCAGTCGTGAATCCGCCCTCTCTGCCCTAGCTCGCAATCCTTAGCCTCTCCCTGCTTCCTTTGACATTCCCATCTACCCTTCATCGTTCGCACTCGAAACCATCTCGTTTATTCCACCCTCTGTAGTTTGCAGCTCCTTCGGCACTAACAGCAGAAGCAATCGCGAATCTGCTCTCACTGCCCTAGCTCGTGATCCTTAGCCTCTCCCTGCTTCCTTCGGCATTCCAGAAGAGAGAAATTGTCTGTTGCTTTTGTCTCTCAAATTGCGCTACTATATCCTCATTTTTTTTCTGTTGCTTTTCTTCTTTGTAGTTTCTGTTTCTCAACAAAATGGCGTCGGAGATTGAAAACAAGGTAAACAATGCCAAGTTGGTGAGTATTTTTTCGATCAATCTTTGGTATTTCTTATAATTAGCATATTTAATCTAAAAATTTTTGGATTTGATTTTGTTTTTGCATCAGAACCGCTGGGTACTTGTCCTACATGCACGACATTCTTGGTTACCTTTTTTTGTTTTTATGCTGGCGGAAATAAATTTAAGCAAAATTTTCCGGATTACATATGTATTTTTTGACAAGAATCAAACTTTAGTTTTCATTTAAATTCGTTTATATCGCCTTGTTTCCCATCTTTAACTTTTTTCGTAGGATTGTAAAATTTTCTTATTATAGTTTTGTGTTGATGGTAAAGAACATTATTGAAATGAAAACCTTCATCTTCCTTATGGTTTTGAACTAGTATTCTGTTGAAGGATGACAATTTTAATTAAATCCATGTTGTTGGATTTTTAACATTGACTTTGGGTAAAACAGTTACTTTTAAGAGAAGTTGGAACCGAAGAGTCAAGTATAGTCTTGCGCTTTGTTAAAGGTCAATTTGTTGAATTCCAGGTTTGTCTTCAATGGTGTTCAATGCCTTCACGAGGAATTCAATTTTTTTTCACAAACTTTGGCAGTTAATGATCAAACTGTGAAATTTGATATTTGGGATACTACTGGACATGAGAGATATCGTAGTTTAGCTCAGATGTATTATAGGGGTGCTGCAACGACTATAATTGTATATGATGTAACGAAAGTGGTTAGTCATTAACATGTTATTTTTTCCTTTTTTTGGCTCTCATTATACTACATATTAGTAAGTGAAGATGTATTTTACTTTTGTATATGTAACTATGTTTTTTTTTTGATGTGATAGAAATTTTTTGAGTTATATAAATGTAACTCAAATCTTTTGTATTTTTATGTATTAATATTTGAACTTTAATTTTATTGAAAAAATTACAAATTCTGCGTGATAAATTGTTCATTTAACTAAAAAAGTCTGCAAATAAACTGTTTACAAAACGCACAAACCAAACAACTTATCCACAATATGAGCAGAATAGTCATTTATCCAGAATCAGCTGTTTTCTAAACGCACAAACCAAACAGTCGGCCAGCTTATTTGAATCAGTTGCTCATCAGCAGATTATCAGGATAAACTGCTTATCAACAAAAGCTGGATAAGCTGCAGCTGCCCCAAACAGATCCTAAGGCTCTGTTTGACACAGCTGCAGCTGCGCTGCCCTAGAAAGCTGTTGTAGGGAGGCGACTGCGGGAAAACTGGTTGTCTGTTTCGTGCAACTGTGTGAAAACAGCTGCAAAGTAGCAGTTTTTGAAAAAATGTCCATTTTGCCCTTGTTTAGTAAAGCTGTTTAAAATAGAACTGTGAATGCCACATATTTGATATTTTAGAAGATTTCACCCAGAGGAAATCCTAGGAAGTTTTTTAACTTTCCGTCAAGGGATGAAGCAAACGTCGTGGAGGACAGTGACGAAGCGGCACACACATGTAACAACAATTTCAACGTGCTATAGTCGTGATATTATATTTTTAGGTGTTCAATACATAATTGAAGGAGTTTTCATTGATATGTATGTAAATCTTCTTCTATTAAATAATTGAAAGTTTTATATATATTGTTTTCATTAATTAACTATTAAATAAATATATTTAAATTTATCTAATTATAATTAATCTGATAATCAATTAATTAATTATTGGTTTATACTCAATTAAATTAATAAAATTTAACTTAAATAAAGTTAAAATAATATCACAATAAAAAAACCCTCACCCTGCATACCCCGTCACTTCTCTTCTCTGGCCGAAGCCCTCGCCCATGTCCCTCCCCCTCTGCCAGTTTCACTGAAACCCATAGCCTTCGAACCTCGCCTTCTCCTCTTCCGAGTCGACTATGCCACCTTCTTCCATCAGCGATATCTTCCTCCCAAATAGCTTGATCGCCGGTTCTCTCCCATCAGACATTCGGGGCGTCTTCTACCTCGCGTCCCCAAATAGAGCAGCAGGCGGGGCAGCGTCGAGCGAGCGAAGGCTTTGAGGGGCATGACGGCTTTGAGGGCTTCGCGAGGGAGGACGGGGCAAAGAGGTCAAAGCCAATGGCGAACGCGGGGCCGCGGGGTCGATTCTGCGGCCCTCGTTCCGCCTATTTTAGCTGCACGAGGCCGCGAATACAACATCCAAATGAAAATTTTTTTCTCAACTTCACGATTTGGTGTCGCGCCGCGTGAAATACGCGACCCTTAACCTAAGTCTTACTCACACATTCCAAAATCTGGGTGATTGATACATTATATTTAATATTTTAAATGATTTGTTTTTGAAAATCTAAAAAGAATTAAATCAAAATAAAAAATAAATATGGAAAATGAGAATATTTCTAAAAGAGGTTATAAAAAATAGATAATCGAAATCCATGGTAGATTTCAGTTACCCTCCATCGTGACCCGAGGGCTTGTGCTCGCTTGCTCCCTTCAAACATCCTCATGGCTTCTTCATCTGCCCCGCCTCCCTCTTCTCCTCAGCCGTCTTCCTCTTCCTCGAGCTCCTACTATGAGATTCCGTGGGTCGAGAAATACCGCCCCACCAAAGTCGCCGATGTGGTCGGCAACACTGAGGCAGTCTCCCGGCTCCAGGTCATCGCGCGTGACGGAAACATGCCCAACATCATCTTATCGGTATCTCCAAATCCCTAACTCATGCAGCCGCTATAGAGAAACCGAAGAAAAAAAAATCGAACCTTATAAATAGGTCTCTGCCATTCGTTTACACGCAGTTGTTTGTAGGTCTCATTAGAATTGTACTTGAATCTCCAGGGTCCTCCTGGAACTGGGAAGACGACAAGCATTCTTGCCCTTGCGCATGAGTTATTAGGGTCTCACTTCAAGGAGGCAGTTCTGGAATTGAACGCTTCAGACGATAGGTGCGGTGCCCTGTTTTATTCGGAAGCATTCGTGCATTTTTTACTGGTTGTACATGAACATTTGTCAGTTTTGATCGTGTTTGGCAGGGGAATTGATGTCGTCAGAAACAGGATCAAGATGTTTGCACAGAAAAAGGTGACATTGCCTTCCGGAAGGCACAAGGTAATAATTCTGGATGAGGCTGACAGGTAGAGTACACGCTTTCAGTTTTTGTTATCTTATTCCCCCTTTCCATATGCTGGATTTCAATTGATTTATATATTGATGTTTGGCGTACCCAGCATGACATCTGGTGCTCAACAAGCTCTGAGGAGAACCATGGAGATCTACTCCAATACCACGAGGTTTGCTCTTGCATGCAATACTTCATCCAAGATCATTGAGCCCATCCAGAGCAGATGTGCACTTGTTCGCTTTTCAAGATTATCTGATCAAGAGATCCTTAGCCGTCTTCTCATTGTGCTTGAAGCTGAGAAGGTAATGAATCGGATTTTGATCCATGGTTCTTCAATGTTCAAACATAGTACCACAAATCATAAAGTTCATTGATAGGATACTAGAACCAATCTGAGCATTTCAAGTTTCTCAGACTTCATAATTTTAAGGAAAAAGAGGGCTGATATGAGGAGGTGAAACTTGATTCATTTATTTCATGCCATTATTTTCTTTTTTTGGGTGTATTTCTAAAATACAAAGCTAACATATATCAACTAACTCAAACTAATTAACCGTCCTCATCAGCACTAAATACAAGAATGGCTTAGATGCCAACCATCTTCTAACTGATTCAACATTTTCACTAGCAACAATTGGTTCCTCTTTAATATCCTTATCAGACAAGCAACATTTCTCTCTTCACCAATAATAACTTTTCGCTTAATCTTCAATTGAGAAATGATATTAAAAAAAAAAAAAATCCAAGTGAGAAATCAATGGAGTAACTTCAGGTTTGGAAATGCAGGCAGGATTCTTGTGAATAAGGCAATGGTGATCATCTGTATATCCATACCTTATTGAGTTCATCCCTTGGTAATCATAAAGGTGGGAATCGTCCTTCTAGCCACAACTCTAGTTAACCCATCTTGTGCTCCGACATGCCTGCCGATGCTTATCAATTCAATTAATGCTTTTATTAAAGTTATGCTATATAGCATCGCTGATGGCTTCAATACTATTATCGGATTGTATTGCCTTAATTATTTTCTCATCAATGTTTTAGTAGACTCCTCATTAAATAGAATGAAACATCATTACTATGCAATGATCAGCATTATAGAAAGTTTGATATCCAAAATCAGGCTTTATGATCTCAAAAGGCTGGTCAAAACTTTTTATAATTGAATAACTCGTTTGTTTGTTCAAATACACTTGTTGGTATGAACATAATGCCAAATCGTCCAAATGCGTCAATGCAATAATAAAATGCCGCGCAATAATAAAATGCTGCTCATCAGGCAAATTATTGTAGGAAAGTAGCTGACTGACTTTGAAAAGTCACTCTTGCAGATTATGCCCATTAAAATTTTGAATGCCCATTTTAATGAATTTTGATTGAGCATGAGGTAACAAGAAAGAGTAATAATAATTAGCAAATGTGCTTGAATTATATGTTGTATTATGCTCTACTATTGATCTGGAGTTTTTTGCTGCAATTTGCTCTCAATGTTCATCAAATGCTGTGAAAGATCATAGTGAAGGATGAGGCTTACTCCACTACTTTATCAAATCGTGTTATACAATCATGTGTTGTCCTTGATGCATTATGTTGCACTTCTGCCATAGATGACACTGCAACTGCGTGTCTAATCTCGCCGGAGAGTCAACCATGCCGAACCTGGCTTGAGACGACTAGGCTCGGTGATTGTTTGTTTACAAGTAATGTAAAATGAATATATGAGCTTTGACTTTTTTATTCATTTGTTATAATGCAAGATTGATAAAATATATTTTTTAAAAAATTCAAATGCCCAAAAGCCTTATTATTGACGAATTCCAAATTCTCCCAAAATAGGAAAATTTTAAATGCGCTTCTTTATCCAATTTTATGCACTCTCACATGATTTGTTTCCCCAAAGGTGTCTTGTCTTAGAATTATTTATACATTTTTCGACCTTTCATGATGATGAAACAAGGTTGTACTTGAAGATTTCAATATCATTGTGTCGAGCCCTCATCAATTAGAGCAAGATTTTTCTTTTGCTTGTTTGAAAGTTGAAGAAATTGAGATAGTGGAGAATGAAAGTGAGCAATGAAGGTTCCACCATGGCCAGTTCCTCACCAAGGACATTCTTTTAATTAAAAGTTGGCTTCTGAGAAAACTATAATTCGATGAACGAGAAGAGTTTCCTTGGAGTCTTGTAGCCACCATAACCATCTTTTATCCAAGAATTTAGTGATTTATGTTATTCCTGTAAAATACTATTTAAAATTACAAGTTTTAATGTAACATTAGTGAAGGGATAATCTCCCCAGTGCATTTTTATGATGTATTAGACTCTAAATTTTACACTTGTTAAAAAAATATTTTTATTGTATTTATTGTTTAGGCAACTTAACTTTTTTAGGTTTTCATGTTGTTTTGAATCATTTATTCTGCATTTGCAAAATTCATGAGCTTAGAATACACACAATCAAAACAATACTTGGAGAGATTTTATGGATATCATAAGATGGAAATATTTCATTTAAACTATAACATGCACATTAACAGTGATATGAAAATACTAAGAAAAAATGTAGGATGGTAAAATAAAGCATCAAAACAAAATAATACACTCAGTAAAATGTCACGATTGACTGAATAATCTGCAAGACAATCATTAAGGCATCCATAGGTAATTTCAATATTTTTACTGATAAAGTAGAATGCGCATGTGTGGTAAAAACCGCTACATCCTTGACAACTTATTTTGAAGCTCGAGTCTTTATTTTATTGCATGATTCATTAGTGTTTAGTAACGTAGGGTTCGTTTGGGGCAGCTTATTTGCTGCTTATGCGTTTTCAAAATGCCGCTTGGGTGTTTGATTATTGCATTTAATATGCATTTTTGAAAACGCCGTTTGACCTCCTTTAATAGACACGGCCGTGTGATAGTCCCCGCGGCCTGCGTTTTTTATCGCTTTTTTTTCCTCCCGTGCCCCCCGTCTTCTCCCTCGCTCACTCGATCGCTTATGATGGAGAGGCTGAGATTCCGTGGGAGAGATCTAATAAAGGGAGCCATAGAGGCAATTCTGGCTCTGAATCGGTGGGTGTCGGGCCAACGAGACATCTTCGGCTTGTTTACTGTGTTGATAAGAGGAAGTTCGTGATGGATCCTGAGGTTGTTGCTACTTTGCAGCTTGTCAAGTGACCTAGCAAGGAGACTGGGTTCAGTTTAATAGGTAGAGGATTCACGGATTCTACCAATTCTTGCTAAGTACGAAGGGTAGGGCAGAGAGGACATAGTGACAGGGAGATGCAACGATCACTTGAATAGAAGAGGAGGCGGGGGGAATCATGCAGCTTAGGAAGATAAACTCGTTCATGGAAGGGATGTAGAAGAATTGCGTGAATAGGAAGAACAGTGACGATATTGTGCGCTGCTTCGGTGAAGGAGAAGGAACATATCACATGAGGGGCAAACAATCCACTGTGGTGCTTTACTGCAGGAGATATGTGGTTCTTGCGACTGAGAAGATGATTATGCGAGCGTTAATCAGGTATGTTTAAACTGATTTTGAGTTAATCAGCTATTTTGGCGATTGAAATGTTATCCTAAATCAATTTTTTGTTACTCAAAAAGATCATGACTCATGAGGCAGGCAATGTGCTTTATTCTTCTTATTTCAATCGCTCAACTCAACTTTAGGATCATTTTATAAAATTGTAATGATGGCATACTCTTGAACATGCTTGCCCTACATATAGATGGTGGGGGAAGAAGTAGAAGTCTCTTTAGATGATGGTTTTGTAAAATATTTTTAAATTTTTGGAGTTGGATTTTTGCTATGTTTCTTGTAACTTGTAACTGCCACATTTGATTCATAAGCTTTACTATATCCTTATTAGTTTAGATCCCTCTCTTGTTTTCCATGGCCAGCTCTTCATCCCAACTCTTGGTCTCACTAGAACAAACTAAACACTTCAGACCAGCTGTTTTCCAAACGCACAAACTAAACAACCGACTAGTTTTTCCGGATAAGCTGTAGATTAGTAGCTTGTCAGGATAAGCTGTTTATCTGGATTAGTTGGATAAGTTGTAGCTATCCCAAACAGACCCGTAGTATTCAAGATAAGCAAACACAATATTTAACATGTAATGGTGCTAGATATTATGTAAACAAATAAAATGGAAGCACAAGTAGGAAAAAGGTTGACTTTCATATCAATTTGTGGCTAGGATTAGATGACAAGCTTTGATCTAATGGTTGTATGGATTAGATTGGCCGGTGGCTATTGTTGTATAGATTTTCGTAGTGTTCATATTTACATGAGATGTTGTTTTTGTCTGTGGCCTTTGGTGCTAGTGTCGATTGCTTATTCTTAGTTAACTTATAATCTCCTTGCAAGTTCACCGAGTATTCTTAAATTATCAACTTGTTTCTTAAGGTCACGAGCAAGTTTTTTAAATAGCTTTAATGATCATATCAATAATTTGGTATTGAGTTGTGATACAAGGAATGATGAGGCGGCATGATTTGATGCAATTATGTATGAAGTGGTAGTTAATTTTGATTTGCTTCTTTAATGGAATGTTGTATTGTTTCTGAGGTCTATGTTGCGGTATAGTTTAGTAGGTTGATGAGTATGGAAATTGAATTCTTAAAATAGGTGCAACCATATGATGTTTATGGCTTGTCACTGTTGTTTATTTCATGACACATAAGGATATTTTAATTCTTGAAATTTTATAGAAAATGTTTTCTGGTGGAGGTTAAGCCTTGATGCCGTACCAAATAATGTGTGGTTTGGACATCATGGATGTGGGGATGTTCGGATGATGAGGATAGGACCCATATTACTGCTAATTGTTTGCTTATTGGTGTTGTTTCAAACATGTTGCAAAAATGGGGCTTTAAGGTCCGAAATTATAGCAGTTTTGAGGAAGTCAATGAAAGGCTGAGTAAAGTCAAGCCTAACACAATTGCTATCACTAAGTTCTACTGTTATGCTGGCATGCTAGGAATGCGAAGAAAGACGACCGGCCTTATGGTACCTAAACTACCATTTCTCATCCCTGCTTGAAGCTCTTGTCCGCTCCAATCGCTACTACATTCAGGAGCACTAGGATGAAAGCCCTCCAGGCTATCTAGTTCATCTCAATGCGCACTCCCTTCCCTCTCTCTCCACTCCCTCTAGGATGGATCAAAGCTAACATGGATGGAGGCATGGAGCTTGATTATCTTCTTGTTCCAGCAATTTTGTTATTGTCATTAGGGACAAAATGGTGGATCTCATAACTGCAATGGGAAAACAACCTCTTCGCTAGGACAGCACACATATGGAGATGTAGGCTACCTTCTCCATCCAATTAATTGAGCCTTGGATGCTTGAATACAGGGTTATCATCATTGAAGGAGACAATACTAATGTAATGAACTACTTCGCCCAAGCTATGAACATCAAAATTGGAAACACGCTATAGGAAACAAACGCTTCAGGACAACCTGAATTATGGAATCCTCTCACAATGCAAGCAAGTCCTTTTCCTCCTCATAACAAGAGATTACAATAGAGCTGCATGCTTTTGCTCTCACAAAGGTTTGCATAGCAATTTTGTTTTGGAAATTAAATCAGCTACATGCTCTTTTTTCTTTTATCTCGGATGATAGATCACAACTTGTACACGCTTCATGGCATCATTTTGTATCTCCTGTAAGTTTTTGTTATAGTAATGCAAAATGCAAATTTTCAAGGAAGGCATAATAGCTGGATGTTGATTTCCAGTCAATTGGTTCACTTGCTTAATTCGAGTTAGAGTAAGCAAATAGGTGTTCATCACCTCTTCGAAAAGGAACATCGAATTGTATCAATTCTTTGTAGTATTGGGTTAGTCCTTCGAGGAGTTGAAAATGAATGTCAGATTGTATATATTTTGGCAAATGCAATTAATTGCAAAGGAGATGTTTGGTCTTCTGATTGTCAATTATTGTGGCAAGCTAGCTATGTAATGATATAAGATCATATTGAGAAATGCTACATAGGATTGTCAGCACTTGGAGGTTTGATCAAGATAGGATTAAGAACAAGTTTGCATTTGTCATTCTTTTCCTTTGAGAATTTGTGCAACATAATTTGTTTGTTTTAGATGGAATCTAGTTGATGTTTCGTGAACTTGAATTCCAAAAAAGTAGGAAATGAGACCTACAGTTTTTAATATTGAATTTATGGTGAATGTTTATGCATAACTTTTGGATGGTGGTTGGTATGTTTCTAATGAACAATATATCATCCATATTGACTATTAGATATGTGTGATTGTTGTTGTGGATGCGAAGAAGTAATGTGGGTCGACTCTGCTTGCTTGGAACCTGAGCTAATTTATATGTGAGGGGAGATTGGTGAACCATTAGTGTGAGGCTTGTTTCAAGCTATAAGTAGCTTTTTTTAATAAGGAATACTTGATTTAATTTTTTTGAATATCCATAAAGCCAGAAAGTTGGCTTATATAGTTCGTTTCTTGCAATTTTCCGTGAAAGAATCATTAATGAAATCTAATTGTGTATTGGGCCAGTCCTGAGTTGAATCAATTGTAAGTAGACCATGGATAATGGGCATTTTGGCTATGGGATTTAATTTTTCGTTGTAGTTTATCTCATATTCTTGTTTGTACTCTCGAGCAAACAACTTAGTTTTATATCTTGCAATTGTTCCATTTGAATTAAATTTTATTTTATAGGTTCATCTGCGTCTCAAAATGTTTTGGATTGTAAATCTGGCTTAAGGATTTATGCGCTTTGCTCTTGTAAGGCTTGAAATTCAAAAGAAACATCCATTCTCCATTTATCTTTTTTTGTTGCTTAGGACTAAGATGTAATATTGAGGGGGGTGTGAGAGGGTATGGTTGAGGTTGAAATATGCATTGGTTAGAGGGAACCAATTTGGGTGTGTTTAATCATCGGATGTCGTTGTAGAGGTGGTGAAGTGGTATATTGTTGAACTGGATGTATTTGTGGGGATATGGGAACACGCTATGTGGCGATTTTTTTTTTTTTTTGGGAATTTTGAAGCATAGAGGTTGGTTAACATGGAGTTTGTAGTTGCAGACATGATGAATGGGTACGGACATGCTATAGTGGGGTTGGACTTGGGGACAATTTTGGACATTGGCACGATAGTGATAGGAGTATTTGTTGGATGCAAGGGAGGGATTGGTGATGCTGTTAATTTGATTTGGGTATATACTTTCATGAAATTGGACATGGTGCGATATAGACATTTTGTCAGAGTTGGGTTTTAGCATTTATACCCTTTGTAGTTTGAGACCTATCTGAGGAAGACTTGGAGTGGATCTAGTTTGCTGATTTGTACGGAGAATGAGGTTGTAACCACAAGTTACATAAACAACTGAAGGCTTTTTAGTGATTAAATGTATGGGGTCATATTGTATAGAAGTTGAAATGATGGAAATGCTTGGTGGTGGTACGGATTATGTAACGAGTTAGCATCAAGCGTTAATGTTCATGGAGTTTCAATTATATGTTAGAATGATTTTAATTATATGTCTATGTTTGCATTTTGTTATGTTGCTTTGTTCAGGTGTGTATGGGCAGTTATATTGGTGGACAATACCCTATGGGGCTAGGACGTTCTGATGATTTTATAGGTATATTTGCCCTTGCCATTTGAATGGAGTATTTTGATGGAGATGCTATGTTGGTTTTTGTTCATAGGATAATCCTAGCATAAATGGAAGAAGTCAATGAGTGAAATATAATTGATATCCTTGTTTTGAGATAATAGGGGAAGGACACCATCCATTGATGTGAATTTGTTCTAAAAGAGAACCGGTAGTAGTTTGAATTTTGAATGGAAATTTGATATGAGTTGTGAATTGTTGATATATTTTGGGCAACGGGTGATTATTATGCAATGTCATATGGTGGAGATGGTTGTATTGTGGGAGTGGTCTGTGATAGTTGGGCCCTCGAAGAAGAATCTAATTGGTCATCAAATCCTTGATTTGATATCTAGAGCCATCAAAAGAGATGAAACAAGATTTTTGTTGGCAAGTATTTTATGGAAAGAAGATTTTGAGTGACGTGAAGTTCTTAAAATAGATTGGATAATTCAAGTGTATTGATTGGTGTTGAAAGAATTCCTTGAGAGCGGTGTCGATGCTCTCCTTCTCCTCGCTGTCGATCTTGTCAGCGAGCTTATCCTTATCATTGATGGTGTTCTTCATGTTGTAAACATTGGTCTCCAACTGGTTACTGGCGTCAATCCTTTCTTTTACCTTCTTGTCTTCCTCGGCAAACTCCTCGGTCTCCTTGACCATCCGGTCGATCTCCTCTTGACTAAGACGACTCTTGTCGTTGGTGATGGTGATCTTCTGGGATTTTCCGGCGCCTTTGTCCTCGGCCTTGACGTTGAGGATGCCATTGGCGTCGACCTCGAATGTGACTTCGATTTGGGATGTGCCTCTGTTGTTCGTTGACATAATTGTAAGAAAGATTTACAAATGTACCCCTTGAATTCCTATGTATTTACATATCTAAGGTGTGATTTGAGGTGGCTCGAGTTGAGGTACCAATATTCATTTGTTTTTATGAGTAACTGATGATTTCTTGTTGGATTGATAGATAAGGTTCATGCAATGCCAACACTCGATGACTATATGATTAATTTTATTGCATATTTGGAATGTAACGGTTGTGTTAGTTTTTGTTGTCTTTGATTGGGCTATATGGTGGTTGTTGTTGTTGGTGGTTGTGGAAGCCTATGGAAGTTTTCTTGTCCCCGACATTTTTTTCCTGGTGTTTTCGATAGTGGTTAAAGATGGCGGTTCTCTTGTTGTTTCATGGTCAATATTTGTCTCTTCCTTGCCGAGCAAATGAATATAGTTCGTCACACACACACTCACACGCATACACACACACACATTTATTTTTTGACAAGAGAATGCATGAACCGTTTGAGGTGTGAACATAGGGTTGTAGGATGTTGAGATAATAGAAAACAAAGTGGCTAAAAGATTTTGATTGATGAGCTTTCATGGTTGAAATGAGGGTTGAAAGTGATGGCGCCGTTTTTGTTTATGAGCTATTTGCTTGTTTTGGGATGTTATCGTTGGTTCATTTTGTATTCATAATATATTTGATGTTAGACATTAATAAATTTAGATGTGTTGCTATGGAGGTGTCTCTCATATTGATGGGAATTGGATTTTCATGGGTCATTCATTGGTTGTGGACAGTCAGACAAGGCAATGGGAGGAGCAGTGGAGGAATTGAGAGCCAATAATAGAGCTTGATAGGATGTTAACAGAGAAGAGGAAGCACAAGTAGGCAGAACTGTATTTCATTTCATTAAAAGTAGCCTAATTACAATGCGAATAATGCTCTGTATAGAAACAAAGTTAAGGATCAGTTGATCACTATTACAAAGTCGGAGTCTGTTACATATTTGAAGAAACGATCAGATGGGAAATTTTGATCTAATTCTTGTGATGGATTAAGGAGGATAGTGGCTATTGGTTTGATATCCACAACTTCTTAATTTTATTCCATCGCTTATTAACATATTTTGCACGACTCATGCTTTAGATCTCTTAACTCTCAATGAAAAATTAATTATCATACATTACTGATTAATTATTTCTAAAATATAGGAATTTAAGCAAAAATTGTTAAGTATTGGCACACAAATTCATAATCATATGCTAACTGAATCTTTGTAAGGAATTGTTTGATAAAATTGTCTCATAAGAAAGGCTTACTATTTTCTACTCTTAATCATCCCCAAGCAAAAATATCTTCAATATAGTAGTCAATTTTACTCCAAAGAAGCCTTTCGCACAGAGGCATTAATCAGATAATTGTGATCAATCTGTATTTCGATTGAAGAGGTTAATCAATTACTAATGCTATCAAAATGAACTGATTCATTCTACTCTTAAGAACTAGAGCCAATCTTCTATCCATGATGTTGGAGGCACAAGTTGGTGAGTTTGGCAATACAAAAATTAGCAAAAGTGAGTTTCGCTTGCTTTTGTTTTTCAACTTTGTTTTTCTATTATTAGTAAAATTTGTATTTTTTTTCCTTCTATTGATCATGATATCAACAAAATTAATCTCCCAGCCTTCCACGTTAAACCTGCTAACCCTTTTTCTTAATATGTAACTTATTGATAGGTCCCATACGTACCTGAAGGTCTCGAGGCTATTATTTTCACCGCTGACGGTGATATGAGGCAGGCTTTGAACAATTTACAGGCCACTTTCAGCGGATTTCGATTTGTTAATCAGGAGAATGTTTTTAAGGTAAATTCATGCCATGCATCTAATATCCTCCCTCCAATCCTCTCGCATATCTTCTGCTAGATGTTCAACCTCTTTTTCTCCTTTTTGGAAGATTTACATGCATACCACTCAATTCTTAAATGTTTACATATCTAACACCTAAACTTCCATCTTTTACTTATTTGCCACCTTACCTATGCATGATAATATGCATTTCACTTTTTAAAAGTTAACATAGTAGTTATTTTGACGTGTTATGAAGGATTTTGGCGGTAGAGTTGTAAAAAGCAAAATGTAGATGTTAGATATGTAAATATATAAGTCCATTTTCCTTTTAACTGTCAGGTCTGTGATCAGCCTCACCCCTTACACGTGAAGAACATGGTTCGAAATGTGATTGAGGGAAGGTTCGATGATGCTTGCTTTGGACTTAAGCAGCTCTATGATTTGGGTTATTCCCCCACAGACATAATCACCACTCTCTTTCGAATAATTAAGAACTACGACATGGCCGAATATCTTAAACTGGAGTTCCTGAAGGTACTCCAATACGTCTAATCATTTCAACTTTCTATGATCTAACCTAAGTCGTCACCTTTATTCCACATTTCCGATTCGTTGCAGGAAACTGGATTTGCCCACATGAGGATCTGTGATGGGGTTGGCTCGCTCCTTCAGCTGTCAGGCCTCCTTGCCAAGCTTGCTCTGGTTAGGGAAACTGCAAAGGCTCCATAAAAATGCTCTTGCAGGTTTGGCGACGCCATTGTGGCGAGCATATCTCAAATTTTGTCTCCTAAAAAGCTAAGTTAATCAACTTCTTGTGTGAGATCCGTTGATCGTTTTTTAGTACTAAGATTTGGTAGCAAATGCGTTGTTTTAACAATCAGAATGATGCAATATTTCAGGATTTTCGTATTGATCATTGGAAATTTGTTACAAATTAGTTTTGTGTTAGTAATATGTAGTTTGAAAGCAACAATTTGTCATGTTAGAATCATCAGCGTCGTTTGGCTTTGAAAAACTAAAATTTTGAGTGGTCAGATGCAGAGGTTTTAAAATTTTTAGTGTTTGGTTTTAGTCAAAAAAACATGTAATTTAAAATTGTGATGAATTTTAAATGCAGGGTTTAGTTTATAGGCTGTTTGTTTTTTTAAAAAAATGGAATGCAATGTAAAATGCTTGCAGAGTCCTATGATTATAATGTATTCAAAATACTTTCGAGCTATTTTGTTCACGGTAAAATATGTTGGATTATATATATATTTTTTGTTTGGTTTGAAGCGGATTGAAAAACAATTTATTTTAAAATATATTTTGTTTGCCATTGGTAGCCATTTTGACCTCTTGCATTGATGGTCGCCGGTCATCGTCCACTGCAAATTGCCACAATCACTGACCACCACCTGTCGTTGGAGAAAATATTGCTTCCGGAGTCCGGATGCAAGTTGCATCCGGATAACGTATGCGATGAACGGGGAGGTTTTTTTTTTTTTCCTCTGCTTCCTGGTGCATAGCATCCGTTAATATTTTTTTCCGGTAGGTGGGTCGTTGCTTGCCCTGCTGTTGCCCACTTCCACTCGTTGTTGCTTGCTACTATGGCTTACTTCTGGGGGCCATTGGGGGCCATCCATCTCCCTTGTTGCCAATGTTGTCGGTAGCTGTTTAAGGGTCTGTTTGGGGTAGCTGCAGCTTATACAACTTATGCTGATAAACAACTTATCCTGATAATCTGCTGATGATCAGCTGATCTGAGTAAGCTGACTGATTGTTTGGTTAGTGCGTTTTGAGAATAACTGATTCTGGATAAATGATCAATCTGCCAATGTTCTGGATAAGCTGTTTGGCTGTTTTGTTCGTGCGTTTTGTAAACAACTTATTTACAATTTGTTTTACAAATTTACTAACCTTCTTAATGCAATTATAAAGGGGAGATAAATGTGAAGATCATGAAAATACCAAATAGTCTTAAAATTAAAGTTCAAATGTTAAGACATGAAAATACAAAATATTTATATCACTAATATATTTCAGATCTCATTATAGAAACACAGTTACCTAAACAAAAGTGAAATACACTTTAACACACTAATATGTAATGTAATAAGACCCAAAAAAGAAGAAAAAACATGTCAAAACTACAAGGAAAAAAATTATAATGTTGACTTTAAAATGTAACAACATATCGCAACCTATTCTGTTCGGCTCTGACACTCCAGAACCCTGAGCGAACCCGTCCGACTGGGATACCGTAGAAATGGAAGCACTCAAATCAGAAGCGGTGTTCTTAAATTTTGATACCGATGAACTCTAAGTAGCGGTGTCAAGTTGAGATAGCATAGAATCGAACGTACTGTCGGCCCACCTGAAGAAAGTGCAGTCCTCCTATCCTTGTGCCCACCGCGGACACCTGTAAAATTGCCTCTTGTAGTTATGTGGCTGACGTGACGTGAGTAGCAAGGTCGGTAGCCCGCACCGGCACATCACCTGCACGGACTTCCCTGAACATCTGGAACTCATTGTCCTGCAGTTATGAAAAAGAACAACAGATCAGTCGAAAAATTGAAGAAATATAGAAAATATACTTACCGAAATATGCCCACTGGTCAGAACAATTAAAATGTCAAAGTGCAGCAGATACTTCCTATTTCATCTAAAAACTTTTTTTTACCATCCCACATATGTTAACATAAGACCCATATATAGCAGACATATATAGTATCCATATATTGCATCCTTGTAATATAATGAAACCCAACAGACTACAGGAGAACACAGGATAACCGAATCTGCAACAGTAGAACATAGGATAACCGAACCAGCTGCAGCTTGTTGCAAATTCATACAACCTCCACCTCATTATGAGATACAAATTCATACAGACAGTTGCTGAAGAAAGAAAAGGTTGAGGCTTTTGATTACATGGCCACTGCTGAGAACAATTTCTACACAAATGGTGGCAGCATTGTGACAACACTTCCATTTTACACATAAAATTTGCCCTTCTATATATTTTGTAATTGAAAAGTAAATGGTTCTACAATAAACTAGTAAATGCAAAAGTTTCATACAACAATAATAAATTGAATATTTTAGGATAGAAAAACAAATGACACTACAATAAAGCTAACAATACAAGCATTCAAAAGCTGCAAAAGCTAACATTGTGACAACACTTCCACCCTGTGTAGCTCACAATCATCTTTTTCATGCAAGAACTAAACACATTGAAATTAACTATCACTTTATTCGAGGTCAACTGCCCTCAAAACTATCACAATGTACCACTTTTCCTCGAATAAATTGCAAATATATTCACCAAATCTTTTCATATAGCCTGCTACATCAATCTACATAACAAGTTGAGCATTAGGAGTCTCGACGATCAACTTGAGGGGCAATTTTAACAGCATGGTTTTATATTATAATAACAAATAAGTTCTCCACTTGACTGCCCAAATGGATCTCAGCCGCACACATCTAACAAATCTTCCAACTCATCCTCACCATTACGCCATAGCCGAATTGCCTATACAAGCAGTGTGTTAGGTCAGAAATACATAATATATTAGAGGAACACCCTTCCAGCTTATCCTAAGTTTCTCCTTTACCTTCATTTACAGTTTTCTCAGCAACATTAGCTTTCTGCAATCAATAAAATGTAGTATGGATTAATTACATCAATCCAGTTGTCGAAATAAAATACAGAGAAGAACAAATAATAGAAGCTATATAGCCAAGCAGCTCTATAACAAATCTTCCAACTCATCCTTACCATTTTTTCCCCATAAAATATGGAATATTCACACAACAACTATACATGACATCAAATACGGCCTTGTGAATATGGTTAGTAAATCTTGCAAGTCGAAAAATAGAAAGTTTTTCATTCCATTTATCAGACCATATAAGTCATGCCCACTTGCATCAAATTTGAATGAGGAACACTCAAATGCACTCAACACCAGTACAATACTGGAATTGTATAACTGAAATGATCTATACAACGGTTTATATAGCAGCTAATGATATAGCTGAACAATTATTGAAGCTTTCATTGTGTATTTACCCCAAAAAATGTGGAAGCAATGGTTGCCAACAAAAAACCTCATTCGCCGTCGGAGGGCCGTCCAAGCTGCTCAAGAAAGTATTCATCTAGGCAAGGTAACTTGTGTTTTACACATATCCAATAAGCTTGTAATTGTGCCCATTCAAAATTTAATTCTGTATATGAGTATTTGACATTTTTACTAAAATGATAAAAATGAGTAATCATCCTGGAGTAGATCATTCCCATCCCAAGTTGACAAACAACAGTTAACAGTAAAATAAAAGATCACAAAAGTTTCCTCCATGCTATATCTAAAATTGATACATATGTTTTTAAGCAATGCAATGCCAGGCCCTGCTCAGCTAGCAGTCGGTCTGAAGGAAGAATAATATAACATGCACTTCTTATAAAAATATTGTAAGTTTTGTAAAACAAATTTTTACGTGACACCCTAAAAATTCTCATGGCCACAACCATAACGCAAAATTAGCAAAACCACCCAATTTATGAAAGCAATTAGTTGGATCCACTAATTTGACACCTAGGTGTTCAGATCCATCATCATATACATCAAATATCTCACCAGAAATGACAAAAAAATCCTCTAAACAAAATGCCATACGAATGCAAAAGATTTTCATGGAGGAAAGATGAAACCACTTTCCATAGCAAAAAAAATCCAAAGAAACATATTGAACCAGAACGGCGACGCATATGGAAGACGAGACATGCGAGGGAAGATAAACCTGTAGAGCGAAAAGCCGAAGAAGAAGATGACGTAGGAGTCAAGATGCCGAAGAACCAGAGGGAAAACGAACCAGATCGTAGATGAGGAGTGCTTAGGGCACGAGTATTGCGAAGGATAGCGGAGGTGTCCGAGGGCAGGGTCACAGGAGCGAATGAAGGTCACAAGAGGTCATGTTGAGGGCGTATCCGTAAAATTCCTTTCGCAAAACGCGGACCGCGGGGGTCGTTCCGCGGTCCGCGTCTTTCACAAAAATAAAAACCGAGTTTTGGATAATCATGCAATAAGTGCTAACGCAATAGAGCAATATAGCTTAGTGGCTGTTTGTGATCACTTTTATTTATTTTTATTTATGTTTTTCTATATTGTTTTAAATTAAACTATATTTGGCTGAGATGTTTGCTTTAAAAATATTCAAAATAATTTTTAGGTTTAATAAAAAATATATAAATTTATTCCATTCAATTTTCTTGTAAAGAAGAAAAGGAAAAAATAAAATCATGTCAAATAAGCCCTATGTTGATGGGGAATATGAGAAACTAAATTGCCTGCTAAAAGGGCCACAAACCATTTTGGCGAGGCTCAGCTTAGTTGACGTATTTTACATGAGTAATATTTTTGTAGATTTTGAAGGCATAACAACATGAATTTTATACTGCCACTCGTGATAACCTCATTCTTTTTGACTTGAGATAATTTCTTGGTTGATTCGTGTCTTCAAAAGGAGTTCAACAGGTGATTCGTTTTTGCTCTAATTTTAAGACAATTGCATGATTTGGGAAGCAAAATAATTAACATCATGGATGCCCTATAAATTTTGATGATATAGATTTTGAAAGTTCTTATCAAAATCGATTCTGATACCAGAAGATCTGCAGTGGTAGATTAATTATTTAATGTCTTAGCGTAGGAAGAAGATCCAATACACATTAATAAAAGAAGAGTAGGAGGAGACAATCTACTTTTCATGTGAAAAACATTGGAAATGTCAATTGAAATAATCAACTATGTGATTGTGTGTGCACATCCCTACTTTTCTTTTGAGTTAGGGAAGATGAAATTATAAAAGTGACCTGCAACATTATTTCAACAATAATAGCTGGAATAAGTTGCAAATATCGTAATCGATTGTTATGAATGCATTAG